TAAACAATAGGTCAAACAATATATAAAAATATATATAGAAATACATATATATATATTTGCTGATCTCTTGATCGCTAATCCTAGTTAGCCTATCCACATTTGTTAATTGATTTTACTCAGAAGATTTTTTTCTTTTTTACTGTTATACTTTCTTTTAAAAAAAATTTTATGAGTACATGTTTTAGTTTAAAATTATTACATTCCTCATGGGGATCGTACATGAAAGGATTGCTTTTAACAATGCCAGAAACACTGGACCCAATGAAACAGTTTTCAAACAATACTTGACAATCCTCAGAACAGAGACAGATGGACAACTGAATCACCACGATGTGATGAAAGTATTCCTGAGATGATGTTGCCAGCAGTCTTCTCACATTAAAATCACATATAAAAATGCCTGCTTTTCTCTCTGCCATTGAATTCCTCTACTGGAATGTGCAGTGCATTGGCTGAGTGTTAACTTCTGTATACAGTATTCTTTGACTATTGGTAAAATCTTTTAAACCATCTCTGCCACCAGCTTCACACATGCTGGGACTCACATGGCAGGTATCACACCCAACTACATCATTTTTTGAAGTAGTGTTCCAATTCTAAGTTCCAGAGAAAGAATCTAATTAGCCCAGCACGAAGCAGGGACCACATCTGTCACTAAGTGCTGGCCATGAAGGAAATCTCATGGAGAACAAACATTTTACCCTTTGAGAGGGGAGAAACACCACTCATTGCACAAGAAGCCATGGGTTGAAAAGATTTCCCCAAAAGATCTCTGCCCAATTTATTAAGGAAGACATTGAAACAGAAAATCGAAGTTCATCAAGTTATCTAGATAGTGAATGTAGTTCTGAACTCATGTCTGTAAAGGTTTTTTTTTATAAATCCCATTCAAAAAGAAAAAAAAAAAACTCATAATCTAATGCTTCATTGGTTAATTCCACCAAACATATACAGAAGATTTACTCTGATCATTCTCAAACCTTCCAAAAGTTTGAAGAAGAGAGAGCATTTCCACACTCATTTTACAAAACCACAATTACCCACAATTAGCCAGACAAGGATACTGTGAGAAAAGAGAATTACAGGCCAATACTCCCAATTAACGTAGATGCATACATCCACAACAAAATACTGTCAAAGTGAATGCAATAAAATATTAAAAGGAACACAATCAAGTGGAATTTGTCCTTCCAGTATGAGGGTGTTTTATACATTACTGCAATGGAAGATAAAATCATTCCAATAGAAGCAGGAAAGGCATTTGAAAAATTCAAACCCTATTCATGATAAAAAAGAAAACCTCTCAATATATTAAGCATGCAAGGAATGAATCTGAATATAGTTAAGGCCATGTATGTCAAATCCACAGGTAACAACACACTTAACAGTGGAAAGTTAAAAGTTTTTTTTCCCCTGTAAGGTTTGAAACAAGTCAAAGTTACCACTCTGGCCAATTCTACTCAGTATGGTACTAGATGTCTTGGCCAGAACAATTAGTCAAGAAAAAGAAACAAAAGCCATGCAAATCAGAAAGTAGGAATTTAAATCATCTATGTGTAGATGACATGACTTTAAAATAGAAAAAATCTTAAATACTCAACCACAAAATTGCTAAGACTATTAATTTAGTAAAGTTACTGTACAAAACTAATCAATATACAAAAATGAATAGTATTTCCATAGGCTAAGAACAGACTAAATATGCCAAATATCTCAAAAATACATTCACAATAGAATAAACAAAATTTAGGAGGAACTTTAAGCAAGGAAGTGAAAGACCTGTTTACTCAAAATTGCAAAACACTGATAAAAAATTGAAGATGACACAATTAAATGAAAATTTATTCCATGTTTGTGACCAGAAGTGTTAATATTTTCAGAGTCAGTTTTACCTCAAGTGATATATAAATTCACTATAATTCCTATTAGAATTCACCTAGTATTTTTTACAGAAATAGAAAACACAATCCAAAAATTCATATAACAACACAATAGATCCCAAATAACTAAAACAGTCATTGGCAAAAATCAACCTGGACATATCATACTACCTAATTTTAAATTATCTGATAAAGTTACAGTAATCAATGCAGTTTCATACTGGAATAAAGACACATAAGCCAATGAAATGTAACATTGAGACCAGAAATGAACCCACACAAATACAGTCACAAATATTTGTTGAACTCACCAAAAATATACTATAGGGAAAAAATATCTTCTGTAATAAATTATGTTTGGAAAAGTAGATATCCACATGGAAAATAATAAATTGTATCGTTATTTTATACCAGCTACACTAATCAACCCAAAATGGATTAAAAACTTAAACATATGACCTAAATAAAATCGTAAAATGATTAGAAGAAACCTATACAAAAGCTTCATTGCAATGGCCTTGATAACTTTTTTTGATGTAACAACAAAAGCACAAGCAATGAAAGAAAAAGAGTTAGTCAGACAACATCAAAATTTATGTACAGCAATGAAAAACAAAGTGAAAAGGAGAAAATAGTTGCAAAAAATATAATAAGGGGTGAATAACCCAATAATAGAAGGAACTCATATAACTTATTAGCAATAAATTGGTCCACTTTTTAAAAAGTGGGCAGAGACTGGAGGTTTAGCTTGGAGAGCACTTGCATAGCATTTACAAGGGCTTGGTTTTGATTCCTGGCCCAGAAGAGAGAAAGGAAAGAAAAGAAGGAAAGAAGGATAAGGGGAGGGAAGGGGAGGGAAAGAGGGAACAAAGGGAAAGACCTACACACACTTTTCTCCAAAGCAACATACAAATGACTATAGGGTATGTAAATTAAAGTCCAACATCACCATACATCAGGGAAATATAACCTGAAACCACAATGAGATATCATCTAATATCTGTTAAGATGTTATTCATCAGAAAGTTGAAACACAACAAATGTTGGTGAAGATAAGGAGCAATGGGAGTGTAAACTGATACAGCATGGAGAATCCTCAAAAGATGACAATGAAACTACCATATAATCCAATAATCCCATTTTTGGGGTTATGTACAAAAATTGATTCCATTGAAATGGAATCAATTTGTAAAATCAATTGCCTGCCCTTCCATGTCATTGTAGCATTATTCACCACACCCAAGATATGGAAACAACTTAAATTTCTATCAAGAGAAAAATGGTCAAGAAAGTGTGCTGCATATACATAGATACATTGGAAAAGAAAGAGATCAGCTTAGAGGAAAGGAGATTTTGCCATTGTGACAATTTGAATGAACCTGAAGGACATTACACCAAATGCAATAAGCTTGACAAAAAAAGAAAAATGCTGCATACTCTCCCTTATATATGGAGTCTGAAAAGTCAAAATTATAGAAGCAGAGAATAGAATGGTAGTTGCTAGGACTGGGGCCTTAAGGACTTGAGAAGATGTTGATCAAAAGGTATAAACTCACACAACATGTATGATTTCTACACTGCTAATGTAAAGCATGGTCACTATAGTTACTAATAATGTACTGGAAATGTGAACTTTTCTAGGAAAGTAGGTTTTGAGCATTTCCACTGCACAATAACAGGGTAGTATGTGAAGCAATCGATATGTCCATTAGTTTAATTACAGCGACAATGATAATTACTTCACAATGTATGTATGTACCAAAACATGTCTTGTACCACTTGAACATATATAATTTTTGTCAATTATACCTTAGTAAAAAGTTCAGATAGTAATGTTTTAGTTTTGGGGGATAAACAACATCTTTTTAAACAATTAAAATGATGATTTTAGATGTATTTCTTCTCTTTATGCTAGAAATGATACAGAATTTCACTAAATAAGATGATAGGAATTCAACAATGGTAGTTATATTGCATATTGTTGCCTTCAGATTAGTTGTTCAGATTATGAGATAGAAGCATGCGGGGCTGGGGGTTTAGCTCAGCGGCAAAAGCGCCTGCCTGGCAAACGCAAGGTCGTGAGTTCAGCTCCCGGTACCGGAGAAAAACCAAAAAAAAAAAAAAAAAAAAAAAAAAAGAGATAGAAGCATGCAAAATTGGTCAAAAAAATTAAAAAGAAGAAAAAAAAGTAAGCATTAACTGTTCCTTTCAATAGACCAGGAGAAATCAACGTTACAATTATCCCAGCTATCCTGGGTAGATATATATATATTTTTTCCTTTCCTTCTTTCTTTCTTTTCTCCTTTCCTGCATCCTGGTGCAAATTACTTTATACTTTATACATATATACATAATATCCAGATGGACTTGGAGGATTTACCTTAGTCTGTATGTCAAATGGTGACACACACTGTAGGAACAGGTGGTAATTTTTCAATATGGAGAGCTTGAAAATTGTACTCACTTCGCTGTTTGTTTACAGATTGTTCCAATGTGCTGTAGTTTATGTGTTCCCAGTAAAGATTCACTGATTGCGTGACATTTTTACTATTTTACCACAATATAGATAAATGGTCTCTTAAGATTCCTGCAAAAACAAAACAGGAAATAAAAAGCCACAGCTTAAGCATTGTAATAACAATTAAAAGGGGGTGACTGATGAGAAAATGGCATGCTTATTTGAGACATGGCTGTAAGAGCCACTATTCTTAATGACAAACCTTGCTTCAAGTGCATAGTGAGCCTTATAATATTAGCTAACAAGAGTAAAAGGCCATTATAATTAGAAGCACATTTAACTTCTGGGTGTGCAGAACATTATTAATAATAACATGCTTCAGTGAAGAAAAAGGTTCTGTGTTCTAGGAAAAATAGAAAGAAATGGCATAATTTTAAAGACATGATCTATTTAATCTTTATATCAACTTTTTTCATTTATGTCTTTGGATTTATAACATATGAAGCTGAACTATTCTTTACAGAATGGCCAGTTTTCATAGGTCAAAAAGGTGAACATTAGCAATTTAATATTTTTCTACTTATTTGTAAAAGTTGTATAAAATAGATACCTATTCATCTATTGGGGAAATTTCTAGAAGATTTTGAAAGTTGGAGTAAATGATTCACAAAGCATTGTGTCAATTTAAACCAGAAGAAGTAACTGACACCACGGACTGTGTCACGTGAAACCAGAAGGATTAACTGACACCACGTGTTGGATGGGATCTTCAGGAATGAAGAAGCTCTCAAGTAGTGGAGAACTTTTCAAAGACATAAGAAAATGGATCTGGGAGCAGTGCTGGGCAACTAGCCTGAAAGATCTGAGTAGTCTAGATAGGAAGGCATGAAAGTTTGTATTCACATAGGGAAAAGGAATTACTTCCCTTTGGCTGAACTATAGAATAGTAGTTCTCTACTTTTTGGAACCAACTCTGTAGAAGACAATTTTTCCACATTGTAGAATATAATGAAATAATATATAACTCACCATATTGCAGAATTAGTGGGAATCTTGAGCTCCCTTGAGTTTTCCTGAAACTACAGGGTCCCACCTGGGAATGAGGGAGACAGTTCACTATAGGCTTTACTTCCCTGTGACGATTTGTTGCCACTGTGATCTGATAGGAGGCATCTCTCAGGTAGCAATTTGAGCAGTGGGGCAGAGCCATAGTACAGATGAAGTAATGAAGTATCAATTACCAAGTGGCCAGCAGGACAAGTGCTAAAGACACAACTTCACAGTCCTGCCTAAGACTTTGAAAAACACATCCTCTATACTATGTACCGCAGGTATATGCTTTTGTCATTGTTGTAGAACTAAAGTTTAGAAGGTATCCTAGCATTATCATTACCCACTTTCTGGAACAGAGGTTGAGGCAGCATTTGAAAGGAGGCAGAAACATATTGAGTGTTTAAACATCAATGTTGTCCTGACCATCATCTACACACATACATGCACAAAGATTGTTAGTAATGTGGCATTTCATGTTTACCTCTAAAAACTGGTAAATCATACACTGATCAGGCCAATTAATTTTGGCTACTGATATATTATACAATCAGTTAACATGATTATGTAGAACTTGCCTATACTGTAATATATTTAGTGAAAAGGCAACACTCTTATCCCTAGTTGATTATTTTTCCTTAATACTTTTGTGTATCTGGAGAACTTTGTGGTTTCTAATTAGAAAGCATAGTTAAATAATTTCTGTGCTTTTCAGAATTTCTCATGAAGAACATTGATGAATTATTGAATGATTTAGCCCAGTTTCTTCCTGTTATCCTTGCTTGAAGTCCAAATGCTTTAACTATATTCCTGTAATCAGGAGCCATGAACCACTAGTTTCACCTAACAGCACGACTCATAAGAACACAGAGGAATTACACAGCCTCTCTAGAATTCTCAGCAAACTGAGCCCTTCACCTTGATGGGGCCTACCCTCTGCATTACTGTGAGCATGGTGGTTTCCTAGGCATGTTTGTAGCGAAGACATAGTCACTTGTCCAGCATGTACAGAATTTAGCTTGCACAGTGTAACTCAGAAAAGAAGCCAGAAAAAACAGACGTATTGCTATTTTCAAATTGCTTGTAGGATATAGTCACTCCTATAAACTCCACATGGTCTCTTTGTGAGGGAAGTATTATGATTGTTATTCTTCTCATCTTGATTTTACAAGTAGAAGACCCGAGAGGCTGGAGAAGCCAAGAACTATTTTTTTTCCTTTTGCATGCCAAGAATCTTAAATAACACCATGCACCACAAAATTAGCAGAGCTGGAACTTGCACCTAAACTTACAGTCCCTCTCCTTTTCACATACCCACCCACTTTTCCTGCAAAAAGTGTCTATGAGTGTTGAAGTGGGGAAAATGGACATAATGTCAAAATTTATTTCAGTGAAATAGCTGAAAACATTTTATCCATCTTGTCAGCTTTCAGAAGGTTATGCTGAAAAAAAAATCATAAAAATCCCAGTAGTTTAAATCACCAAAGGTTTTCCTTACATTCATATCCATGTGAGCAGGATATAGGTATGTTCTGTATTTGTTTCATCCCAGAATCCAGGCTGAAGGAACATATCCCATCTCAGAGGTGGCTGGCTGGAGCCAAAACAAAACAGCAGCCATAGGATCACCCGATGGTGCTTGATAGTCAGTTTTGGATATGGCAGAGCCAGGACTTCTGCTCACCTTCCACGGACAAACATGAGTGTCATGGAAATAGCTGATTTCCGGGGTGGGAGAAATCACCTTCCATGAGAAAGGACTCACGAATGGGTTCTGCAAATAGGGCCCTCTTTGAAAGGGATAGCAAATAAATACTTAAAAGGAAATTATGCATATATTTTCTATGTGATAGTAACAAATAGAAAATACACATAAAGTAGAACTAGGAAATGCATAGAAAATTTTAAGTAATGATACTCAAGCTTTGAAAGTGAGTCAAGTAGTTAATGTCTTGAAATATTCATAATGGATATTTTTTGACCATAACTGCCCTTCTTATCTACTAAAATGCAACTTCGTGGGGGTGACCTTCATCTCTTTTGCTCAGCAGTGTACTTTAACTCCGTTGAACTAGAAACTAAAGAAGTCATGGTTCCTGAATTGGTGGATAATTTTGTTTTCCTAATCTTTTAGATCAGTCTCTGTTATATAATATATTGTTAGATCAGCTTTTTATTCTTATGCTGTGAATCTTAAATATCTCCCCAAAGCTCCTATATTAAACCTTTGGTCCCCAGCTGGTGGCGCTGTTGGGAGCTAGTGGGGCGGGGCTTGTAGGAGGAAGTAGTTCTCTGAGATGTGCTCTCCAAGGGTGTATTGGGACCCTGGCCGCTTACTCGCTCACTCCGCTTACTTTGCTTTCAGCCAGGGTGTGAGTAGCTTTCCTCTTCCACGTGACTCTGCTATGATCTCTTTCTCCCCCACTACAGGCCCACAGCAACCATGAATAGAAACCTCTGAAATTTTGACCTAACATAACGTTTCCTCCTTTTAAGTTGTTTGTCTCAGATATTTTGTCACTGCAACACAAAGCTAAAGCAATTATATTTCGAAATATTTAATAATTGGCAAGTTTTGTCTGTTGTCAGAATAGACTTGATCACACAGAAGTCCCTCATCAAAAGTTTTTTGAACAAATGAAAGAATAATTGGATACATCATTGTAATTGGTGATCTATTTGAATTTTATTTATTATAGTTAGATATCTATATAAATAATACATATACAACATTTGGATTAGTTTTGGTTTTATTCTGATTTTTACTTGACTTGTGTTTCTGAGACTTTTTCCCATCATTTTGATTAAAGTAATATTTTATTATTAGTTTTTACTATTTCTACTGCTTTAAAATCTCTATATTTTTCTTGTCATTGCTTTTAAATATTTCCCTACAAAATGAATTAACAAAAATAAACATTTAACCATATCGTTCCTAACCTATCACAATACAAAAAAAAATTTTGTATCTGTCACAAGAAAATCTATCACAATACAAAAAATATCTCATTTTGTATAATTCTTAGGATTTTTGTTTGACATTTTCATTCCAATCTGTTTTTTTGAGCTGACATTAATACTCTTATTGCTGTTTTATATAATCCATGTTGACGTAGATCTCCTCACTCACTTAAAGGTATGTCTCACACCATTCTTCCCTCTTTCTCAGGCCTTCTTTCTTCTAGTTTTCTTCTTTTTTAGTTATAATCTCCATAGTCCTTTCAGTGGTAGTTTGTTAGTGATAGCTTTTGGTTCATTTTAAATGTTTTCATTTCATCTTCATTGTGGAATAATCATATTGTTGGGTATGAAATAGTACAGTAGTAGTTATTTTCCCTCTACTTTTTAAGAGATTTGCTGTCTGTCTTCTGGCTTCCACAGAGAAAATTGGGGCTGAGCCACCATCCTTTTTTGCAATCTGACATTCCTCTTGGGTTGCCTTTAAAACTTTCATCTTTATCTTTGATGTATAGCAGTTTAACTACAAAGCATCCAAGCTTGGGTTTCTTTTCCATCAGGTTGGCTACCTAAATCTGACAATTTGGGAATTTCATCATCAATTCTTTTTGAAGAATATTTTCTCTGTGTGTCCTCTAGTATCTTTTGTTCTCTGAAACAATCACATAAGGTTAGGCTTTTTCGTTCTACCCCATTTTCTTCTGCTTCTCCTTCATATTTTATATCTATCCATTTCTGTTCTATACTCATGGTAATTTTTTCCTGTCAGTTGCTTGCACAGATTCCTCAAGCTGTCTAATTACTGTCTTTTCCATTGCTTGAATCATTGTTATTTAATTTCAATGACCTCATCTTCTTTTGTGTATTCTTTTAAAATTTTTGTAGAGATCCAGTGTGTTCTTTTGAATTGCCAGTGTGTTATTCCTCTTTCATGTCTCTCAATTTTTATCTCCTTCCTTATATTATGTGTATAATAATTCCAAATCTGCAGCTCTAGGGAGTCTACCTGAGGCATGCTTTCTGATGACCCACACTCAGAGGGCAGCATGTCCTCCCTGTTCTACAGTTTTTGACTGTGAGCTCATCTCATGAGAGACTTTCTCGTCAAAAGTAATTGGTGGTCTGGACTGCAGGCATATCTCTCCAAAGGGGTTAGGTACCCAAGACTACTATCACCCAAAATGACTTTACTTCATCTCCTAACTTTTGATCTCCAGACTACAAAAGTGAACTAAAACAAAGGTCAAGTTTAAATACAAAACCCAACTGAATCAGGCCTTTGGGAACCTTTCTCCATTCCCACAGACCACCTTTCTTAATGTTTTCTTTGCTGGCACACAGGATATTTTTTCTGCAAGCCTTTTGTGAGGTGTGTCATGGTTTTATTTAAGAAGTACCAGTTCCAGTTCCCAATCTCTGCTCTTTCTCTCAGTCTCTGATTCTGTCATCAGCCAGTCATGGTAGGCTTCTCTTTTACTGCTAGGATCTTTCCAGCAGATGGACAGCTTTGGGCCTCCCTCTCATGGTCCTAGAAAAGGCTCTATCACTATATCCTTATTTCTCTGACCTCTACTAGGAATAAAGGGCAGATCAGCCTTTTTGGGGGGGTTCATTATCTTCAATGTTATTTACTCTCATTTCAGTTCTTGCCTGTGTTCCACCATCCAAAGTTTAAACAGAAGCTGTGCACTTTGTATTTGGCCCATTTCTTCTTCTTCTACTCTATTAATGTATATTCTGTGTTCTAGGAGAAGAGAAAGGTGGTTGATACCTATTAACTATATCTGTTCCAATCTTTAATAGCTCTGAAAAATAAGCATGAATATTTTGAACCTCAGTCTTGTCTTCCTCCCATTGTACTGTTACCTAAACATGGCAGAGAGCAAAATAAAGATTCATACGTGGATAATGTAAATCATACAGCCCCTAGGTGCAGCCTGAACCATTCAAATGCTTGAATCTGCCACCAAGTGTCTGTGTTCCTTCATTCTCATTTTATAAGATATTAGTTATGCAAGACAGCCTGTCAGTTCCAGAGGGAGGAGCACATCTAATGCAGAGATGGATAGTCCAGTTGGCTTT